TAGAAGTCTCTGCCGTCAAAACACACACTTGTCTTTCTTTTTTATATGCTCAGGTGTGAAGATAGGAGCTTAAGCTAAGAAGTCATAGCTAGGTTTTAGGTTATATGAAAGAGAAAATAGGAGAAGAAGGTGAGTTTCACTAGCAGCAATGAGGATACATATAGCAAACCCTAGATGGGTTGTACTCGCTATAGAGCACCCCACTACAGGCTAGAGAATAACATTCTGACACACCCCCATAGCCAAAGTGGGGTGTAATCAGTACAATGAGCAAGCAGGTATAGAGCAGGAGTTCACAAAGGTAAGCAAAGTTAGAGCTAATCACAGAGGGCAAGTGAGGAGGAGGAGAGACTGTGGAGGGAGAGAAGATGGGAGGCAACGACTGAAGCTGCAGAGGCACGGGCACAGGAGCGGCTGACTCAGAGGCTACCGAAGCAAGGGCGACGGACTACTGGAGTGACTGGCTCCGCGGCTATAGACGAGCGGCAGGAGCAACGGACCCACTGGCGACTGGTGCAACAGGCTCACTGGCTACCGAAGCAAGGGCGACGGACTACAGGCGCTGCAGGCGACAAGACAGCTACCTTCACACAACCTCCTCCAACTGCCCCACTCCCCTCTCACACACCCCCTGTTCAAACCCTAGCTCCACTCCCACAGCACCCCCTTTAAGCCCTAAACCCTAGGCTCCCACACACCCACCCCCCTCAGCGACAGCTGCAGCAGTGGGAGACAAGGGAGGAGGAGGAGCAAGGGGAGGAACACATAACCGCCACCCCCACACCCGCCACCCCCACGCTCTGCACCCCACACCCCCAGCACCACGGAATGCACGGGGGGGGGGGGGGGGTAGGGCCGCGACGAAGAAAGGAGGAGCCGAGGCGCGGTCCTGCCCCCGGGCGCCAGAGCAGGCGGCAGAAGGGGCGACGCGCGGGCCCCCCCAAGTTGCCCCTCCCGTCGCCTGTCGAGGCGACCTGAGGGGGCCGCGCGCGGCCCCCCAGGGCGTCGCGACGGGCGACGGGACAAGGGCCAGGGCGGGGCCGCGACGGGGCCGAGACGAGGCCGCGACAGGCGTCGGGGCAGGGCCGCGACGGGGCCGCAACGGGGCCGCGACAAAGTCGCGGCGGGCGACGGGGCAGGGCCGGGGCGGCGCCGCGACAGGGCCGCGACGGGGCAGCGTCGGGCGACGAGAGGGCGCGACGGGGGGCCGCGACGGGAGCCGCGACGGGGGGTCGCGACGGGGGGGGCCGCGACGTGGGGCCGCGACAGAGCCGCGGCGGGCGACGGGGCAGGGCCGGGGCGAGGCACCGCCGCGCGCCACGGGGCGCCCGACGGTCAGAAAACCGCCGCGCGCGCGCCATAGGCACGCGGCAGGCAGGCGCGCGCTCGAGGCGCGCGTTAGGCAGAGTAGTAGCAACGGAAGCAGATGGGCTCACAGGCCAAGAGCGTAACAGCTCTGATTCCATGTGAAGATAGGAGCTTAAGCTAAGAAGTCATAGCTAGGTTTTAGGTTATATGAAAGAGAAAATAGGAGAAGAAGGTGAGTTTCACTAGCAGCAATGAGGATACATATAGCAAACCCTAGATGGGTTGTACTCGCTATAGAGCACCCCACTACAGGCTAGAGAATAACATTCTGACATCAGGAACCTTGATTGAGCAGAGAGAATTGCTTCTTCGCTGGGACGGGGAGTCTTGGGAGTTGAGCCATTTGTTTCGAGGGAGAAGGTGTGCGGGGCGGTATTGTGGCCATTTGAGGCTGGTTGAGAGGGTTGGGAAGATGTTCCCGCGTCGCCATTCCGCAATGTTTGGAGTCCTTGCTCCAAGCTGGTGAGTCGCTGAAGCAGTTGTGCGAGGACGGCGGTTCCAATCGTCGTCGTTTCCTCGTTTGTCGCAGCCGGGTTGGGCTGCGCTTCAGCGGTCAGATTCGTCTGACCTCCAGATCCTCCGGCCATCCTTACACGCGAGCGTGTGCCGGACGCCACCTTTCGATCGCCGAAGATTTCGGAGGTGGCAGTGCAAATGATTCCTGAGTCGCTTTCATACCATGCTGCGATCAGAAGTTGATCGTAACTAGGATCACCTCAGGAAGTTCGCACACAACTATGTAGTGGTGGTGGGCCCTTGACCTCAAATCAGAGTGAATGTAAAATGATTGAGATTAATTAAAACATGCAAATACAAACATATACATAAGAGTACAAGGTGGAATACGAAACGACCTAGCTAGCCATGTACTCTAAGGGGTACATTCCCTTATTGCAGCGAAACCCAACCGTGCGACTCCAGACAGTTACGAACTGCTCGAGCAGGGTCCTCGCCACTGCTGCTGCCTGATGCTGTCTGCCCCGACGGTCCAGATGCTCCGTAACCGTACGACCCTTCGCGTCATTCCGCCTGTTCGTCTTCAGCCTCGATACTGCATGCTTCGTTTGCTACTGTCGGGAATGCACAGTAACACTTCATCTTTTACTATTTGTAACATATAGGGTGCTAGAATCACTCGTATGGTCAGGACATGCGTTTCCTTTGGTAAACAATTATTTGTATTCTTCAGTCAATGCTCGTGCTCATTTATGTCGGTGAAGAAGAGCCATACACACACACACCTACCGTATGCCCTTCCTGTTGAACGCATGCCTGTAGCAGTTATCTAACAGCAGCTAGCAGCTGTGGTGCATCTGCTTGCTGCTGGAGGCTGCTCATGGTGTGCGCTGGGAGCTGTGTCTACGTCAGCAGCAGGGCCCTAGATATCAGACTTTGGAGTCTGATTCAGAGTCCGTTCAGACTTTTTTTTTGTACCTAGTCTGAACTCAAAGAATTTTTTTAGGCACCCTGTCTGATTTACCAGAGTTTTTTTAACTGGCTTGTCTGAAATTTCAGACTACTTTTAGTAGTGTAGGCTGAGCCTCAGACTTGTATCAGGGGTGCACTCTGAAACCGATAATACAGGGGTTTGCGCCAGCCTGGCGGCGTGTAGCACTAACCCCGTCAATCACGGGCGGGAACCCAAAATTTCGCCAGCGCGGCACCGAACAGTCGCGTTGGTACAGAATTGCTGTAATCAATACCAATTCCAACCAATCGTGGCTGCGCAGCAGGCAGTGTTGGCAAGATTCCTTGCCAACACATAGCTCGCCGCGCGCTGCACCTTCGCTTGACACCACGACCATCCACCACACCCCGCCTTCATTGTTGCCAACGCATAGCTCACACCGCGCTGCCACTCTCACGTGACCACATCCATCCACCCCATTCACCCCACCTTCCCAGCATTCACGCCCAGGTGCCGTGCATGCAGTGACCACCTGGGAGATGAGAGGACCTCTCAACTTCCTCATGGTCACCGTGCTTGCCAGTCTCTCTCTCGCGTCTCTCCGTTTGCCTTGCCTGAAACTAGTGTAGGAGCCCTTGTTTCAGGCTCCCCTTTCCTAGTTCGCTACAGCACTGCTCGGCAGGCTCAATGGCTGCCACAGAGGCTGTCGCTGATGGGCCCGACGATGAGGATGATGGTGATGGTCGCCCAGTTTCCGACCCACTCACCGGTCTAGACTTCCTTAGATCAGTCTTACCTAAGCATAATCCACCGCAAGCGCCCCCGTCGCAACCCAGCTCGAGTCGCCCATCGATTCCCAGAGACGCTGCACCTCTGCACGAGGCCATCACTGAACCAGCGACTGCTGCGCAACAGGCGGTGCCCCATGAGGCGTCCGTCGGAGCACCTTCTCGTCCCGCGCCACCGACGAAGCTGCGGTACCGTCAGTCCACCATTGCGTGGGTAACTCCACCTCCTCCATCTGTCAGAATGTTATAATTGTCTAGTCTGCAGTGGGGTACTCTATAGTGAGTACAACCCAAATTAGGGTTTGCTATATGTACTGCCCTGCTTACTAGTGAAGCCCTCTTTTCGTGTTCTATCTTTCTGCCTGCTGTTTCTGACATGCTATCAGAGCGGTTACGCTCCTTGCCTGTGGGCCCACCGTTAGCTTCCGCTGCTATCCTGTCTGTCCCACTGCTGCAGCTGCCGCTGAGGGGGGTGGGTGTGTGGGAGCCGAAGGAGTGGTGCTAGGGGGGTGACGTGGGAGTGGAGCTAGGGGTGCAGCAAGGGGTGTGTGAAAGGGCGGTGGGACAGTTGGGGGAGGTTGAGCGGAGGTTGAGCCGTCGTGTCGCCAGCAGCGCCAGTAGTCCGGAGGCTACAATCTCCGGTAGTCGCCAGTCGCCCGTGGGTCAGTTGCTCCAGCCGCTCAGAGTTAGCCGCAGAGCCAGTTACTCCTGTAGTCCGGGCCTTTGCTTCGGTAGCCACTGAGCCAGCCGCTACCATGTGTCTGCAGCTTCCGTCGTCGCCTCCCATCTCCTCTCCTCTCACATTCCCTCCTCCTCACCTGCCCTCTGTGAATGCCTCTAGCTTTGCTTGTCCTTGTGAACCTGCTCTATGACTGCTAGCTGTGCTGATTATACCCCACTTTGACTATGGGGGTGTGTCAGAATGTTATAATTGTCTAGTCTGCAGTGGGGTACTCTATAGTGAGTACAACCCAAATTAGGGTTTGCTATATGTACTGCCCTGCTTACTAGTGAAGCCCTCTTTTCGTGTTCTATCTTTCTGCCTGCTGTTTCTGACACCATCGACCGTTGAAACTCCTGCGAGCGACGATTATCCCATGCAGGACAGCTCAAAGCCCACGCAGGACATATCAAATCCCAAGTCCGACAGCCCTGAGTTGAAATACGAAGAAGCTCATGAGCGATTCAAATCCAAGTGGTCCACCGATTACAGTTGGCTTGTTCTAACTAAAACCTCTTCTGGTGCTCCTTCTTTCAAGTGCAGTATTTGCTTGGAGTTTGCGGGATTGAATGGCAAGTGTGGGCGGCGTACCGAGGGAGCTACAGACGTGCAGACACAGTCTTTCAAGAAGCACAAAGGGACGGTGAAGCACCGATTTGCTCTGCAGCGCCAGGAGGACTTGCTGCAGAAGTATGGGCGACAGCAGCGCATCGACATGCACCCGAAAGTGCAGGACAAGGAGCTGCTGCGGGTGTCGTCGCTCGTGGACTCGCTGTACTTCATGGGGAAGTGCAACGAGCCCATGGACTCGTGGATCCGGCTGGTGCACTACCTGGCGAAGAAGAAGGTGCCCGGGTTTCCCGAGCAGGGCTACGGCACGTACAACAATACGTACGTAATGTCGGTTGTATGCCCCGTGTTAATATTTTCTCTTTGACCGTCGCTAACGAGTTCGTTTTTCTTGTGTAGGTACAGCTTCAGAGAACTCACTCAAGCAATTGCGACGTGGCTCCAAACAACGCAACTGGAGCACCTTCTCACGAGCCCTTTCATCGGGATAACACTGGACGAGAGCACCGACCGTCGGCGCGGCAAACACATGATTGTGTTTGCCACCTTTCTCCGCGATGGCCAGGTTGTCACTGAGTTCATCGCTCACCTGACGATTGAGAAGGGTGACGCTGCATCTTTGTGCAGTTTGTTGCTTTCCCACCTCAGGGTTGTCGGCGTTGACCTCCGGCGTATCTCGGGAGTGAGCACGGATGGCGCCTCTGTGATGGTGGGGAGTCAAAACGGTGTGGTTGCTCGTCTGTGAATGCTCATCCCCAACCTGGTCTCGTTTCACTGCATCGCTCACCGGTGCGTTTGTGTTTTGATGTCATGTGCAAACGTCGGTGTTGTATTTTATCATTCTCAAACCGTGTGTGTGGTTCTGTTTGGCAGGGAGGCGTTGGCTGCCAAGGCCGCAGCGGAGGCGATACCAACCTTCAACATGGTTGACGACGTGATCCGCGCCGTCGCAGAGTACCTCGGGCGATCGTCACCGTGGCATCAGCGGTTCATGGAGCTGCAGGAGGTGTTCACGTCGACAAACCTCGAGGTGCAAGGAATTTGCGACGTGCGGTGGCTTTCAAGAGGTGCTGCAGTCGCCCGCTTTGTCAAGTCCTTCCCGCCGTCATGGTGATGTTGTCGGAGTGAAAGGACCAGACCATGTACGAGCTCGTGACGTTGTACATGTTCCAGTTCCTGATCAGGTTCCTCGCGGACCTTCTCGAGCAGCTCAACGTCCTCTCGTCGGTTTTCCAGAAGCGGGAGGTAAGTGACTTTCTGTGTGTTGCTTGTTTTGGTTCCAATACAAATCCCTTTGTACTGATTTGCTTTGAATGTGTTGCCTGCAGCTCGACTACGCGCTGGTGCACACGCAGATTGTGCGCACAACATCGATCTTGGGGAGCTGGTACATTGACTGTGGAGACGACTTCGGGGGGGGGGGGCACCGAGAGGCTGTACCGCTTCATTCAGAAGCACGGTCCGAGTGGGTCACCAGAAATGGTGGTGGAAGGAGCATCGTCCGACGGCAGTCTCAACCGCTTCAAGGTAAAACTACACGAGCGCACCAACCCGAGCTACCGTGGGCCAGGTCATCACGACGCATGCGTGGCGCTCTGCACCGACATGGCCGAGCTCGTCGTCGAGAACCTCCAGTCCAAGCTCGGCGACCTTGACTCTCTTTCCGGAGCGAGGCTGTTTATTCCAGACATGTGGCAACCGCATTGGGACCGGGACGCACGGCAGGCACAGTGCCTGGAGTGGCTGTTGTCGCTTGTCACGTTGTTTCGCGCAGATGAAGCCGACGAGATCCTACCTGGTCAGTTTATATGTCACCCCACCCCGTTCCCCCCTTTGACAACGGCTCCTTAACTAAAACCGTGTCCTGTTTTACCTTGCAGGCATTGACAAGAAGAAAGCCGTGAGGGAGCTGCGGACACTGTGTCCAGTCCTTGCCAGAGCTCCGAAGAGCGAGCGAAAGTTCCACGCGGGACTTACCGCAATTCTCAGGACACACGACTGGCAGCAGGCGTACCCCAACCTCGTCGGACTTTGGGTGGCGATTACAGAGCTGCCTCTCAGCACGGTCGAGTGTGAGCGAGGATTCTCTCGACAAAATTTCATCAAGACGTGGCAGAGGGGCAGTATCAAGGATTGTAGGCTCAGTGATCTGCTGTGTATGTCATTGCTAGATATGAGCTAGACGTGCCTTGGGTAGTAGAGATTTGGCGCAGCTACAAGAAGCGCCGGCCAGTCACAGCACCTGCTGCAAGACACAGGGAGGAGCCCCTAAGGGCAGGGAAGGAGCCTGTAGAGGAGCCTGTAGAGGAGCCAGTAGTTGTGTGGGCAGCTTTTGATAGTTATCTATCAGAGTATGAGTAAGATAGTTGAACTGTTTGTTTAATGTGTTGGAAACAATCAGTCTTAAGCGCATCTGTCGTGTCGAAACACCAAGACACAAGCGAAGCAAAGCATATCGAGGCACCAGCGAGTCAACCCTCGGAGGTTGAAGTAACCGCTGGAGGTTACGCGAAAGTCAAAGGTCAGCGACCTTTGACCTGACAAGTACAGCGCGACAGCAAGGACACACAACTGACTCACAACTGACTCGTCACTGTATCGAACCGCAACAGCAACAGTAAAAGTAGTTACAACCGTGTCTCTTCGTATTTCTTGTACTCTTATATAATATTGTATCTCTTTGCTTTAATCAATCTACTTTGCCCTCACATACTAGCGCAAGGTGGTTCACAATCTCTTCACTAAACGCTTCCGCTATTACAATCCTACACAGAGTTCATCCCTGTAAAGATCCTAAGGGCTTTTCTCAGCCCAACATGGTATGAGAGCAGTCAGGGAGAATTCGACTTCTATTAAAATACCGACAGCATCAACAGACATGGCTACACAAAAGGAAAGGAGCTCCTCTAACGGCTCACAGGGTACTACTCCTACTCCACCTCCTGTCTCTGGCCTACAGACAGAGGAGGGTACGGCAACAAGACCCAGGGCAACATCCACCGAGACTCCTGCAAATCAACCTGCAGGCTTCGATCAGAGCATGATGAAGTTTTTCTCCTTCATGTCCTTCTACGAGCAACACCAACAGTCGGCACCTACGCAGTCGAACAACAGCAACAACAACAACGGAGCAACTCCCATGAGTCTTGACGGCTCATCATACGCACGAGGAAATCAACAGCAGCCTACCTTTGCTCCGTACGAGCGCAGGTCCATCAGCTTTATGCCACACCCGCAGCCTTCACCTGGACAAGAAAAGCCACTGGACGCATTACAAGTTCAGTCGCAGTTCGCGCACGTTCTAAAGATGCAGACGTCAATACCTTTCGATGGAAAGGATTTCTTCACCTGGTCGTTTGAATTCGAGTTAATGATGGAAGGCGCACAGATACTTGGCTTCTTCGACGGGTCCCTGCCATACCCAACAAACGGCACACAGTATGAGAAGCAGCAGTACACCTATCAGTCGATGATGGCGTACACGATTCTACTGAGAAACATCACCCCGTCCCAACAGCAGAATATACGGTCTTACCGGGGTTACGGCAACTCCGCAGAGCTCGCGTACAACCACTTGAAGAGCCTGTATCAAGCAACAGACAGCGTAAATCAAAGTCGGTTAATGGCGCAACTGACAACGGTCGAAATGAAACCAGGCGAGAAAGGATTGGCGTATATCAGCCGATGTCGCGAGTTGCGCGACAAGCTTCTTCGATGCACAGGATCGATTTCTGAAGACGCCTTCGTGACAGTTATCATTGGCGGCCTCGGTCCTCAATGGCGCGCAACAAAGGCCATTCTCCGAGCCCACGGAAGAATCTCCGAAGCAGCGCTCTGCGCCGAAACCCATGCCGAACAACAAGACATGGACCTGCAAGAAGAACGACATAAAAGGAAGACATCAGCACCGGAATTCGCGTTCCACACTCAACGACGCTACAACAACAACAACAACAACAACCGGCAGCAACAGCCGAAGCCCGTACCTCCGTTCTGCCACATCTGCAAAACTTCAGGACATCCGCGCACACACTGCCCGAATCGACAACAATCAACAACGCCACAGCGACAGCTTCGACCTTCAAGCAATCAAGTCGCTTCGACACAAGCAAATCCTTCGACCCAGATTCAAACCTCAACGACTTCAACGGGACAACCTGCACAAGGAGCAAGAAACATCGTCAGCTGCATGGCAAGGCTGAGCGACTCTTGCATCACGGGATCACCACCATACTACTCACCAGAAGAACAACTTGATGAAAGAACTCCACACCGTGAGACACTGGAGCCGAATCCGACATACGCAGCTATCGCCCAGAGCGAACCATCCGGGAAGGACACGTGGTTCTTGGACAGTTGCTGCAGACAGCACATGTGTTCTTCAGGGCGCTTCGTGCAACGAGAATACCAACTTCAACGCGAAGTAGTCATCACCGTCGCCAACAATCAGAACCTGCGCACACGACGACAAGGAGTTGTTCAACTACAGTCACGAGAAACAAATGTCATCCTACAGATGTCCAAGGTCCTAATCGCAGAAGGCCTCGGCTACAACTTACTAAGCGTCAGTCAGCTAATGGCGAAGGGGATTCACCTCGAAGCAGACAGCACCACCCAAGAATTCAAGTTGTATCACGGGAGAGGAGGGCTTTACATCGGCAAGGCGATCCTCAAGAACAACGTCTTCGTTCTTGGCTTCGTTCCTGATCTCGGCACCGCCGACAGCGACGCCATCGTTAGCTTCACCAACTGGACACACCCTCCAGACCTTGATCCAGACTTCAGTCCTGGCGGTTTCTGGTACTCACACACCATCCCTGAGACAGAAAGGACAAGAGCGTTAGCGACAATTCAACAAGCAGCAGAGACAACGTCGGCAGCAGCAGAGACAACATCGGCAGCAGCAGAGACAACATCGGCAGCAGCAGGAACATCAACGGGAACAGCAGGAACTTCAACACCAGTCGCTGGTCTTTCAACGGCACCACTCCTCGACGACACACCACCGACACCCGCACAACAGCTCAACCCGACACGACGAGAAGTCCACCGAAGCGCGAACGTCACCGCCGGCTTCTACTCCAACTCCGACCTGTACTGACGATCACCCGGACATCGCGCCGACGAAAGCACCTGGCACGCAAGGATGGGACACCCAAGTAACACAGTATTAAATAATACGATAAGAGCAGGAGTACTCGACAAGGACTCACTACTACTGACTGATGGAAGAGAACTTCAACGCGTACGTGGAACGTGTTTCACCTGCCCTGAAGCTGACTTACCGCATCAACCGTTCGCGTCTCACCATAACCCAAGCGCACCAGCTTACGCGCCACTCGAGAAAGTGTACAGCGACATCCTGTACAATCGCGAACCGGGGCAGAACGCGTACAATTACACCATCACGTTCATCGACGCCGCGACACGTTACGTTTGGCACCTGAATCTTCCAAGCAAGGATATGGCGTTCGAAGCGTTCGTCGCCTGGCTCCCCGTAGCAGAAAGGGAATCGGGCGTCAAACTAAAAAGCTTCCAGTCAGACGGGGGAGGAGAATACACCTCACAAAAGTTCAAGCAGTACCTGGCAGAGAGAGGAATCAAGCGGCTCATTTCCCTTCCCTACGCCCATCAACAGCAGGGTGTAGCAGAGAGGATGAACAGGACCCTCCAGAACACCATGCGGAAACTGTTACGTGGCATGCGGCTACCCTCTCACCAATGGCCAGAAGCAATGGACCACGCCGTGATGCTGCACAACTTGCTTTCTTCGTCGTCACTACCGAACAACGCATCACCGCACCTGCTGTGGACAGGAAAATTGGGCAACACAAAATTGTTGAGAGTCTTCGGCTGCATGGTACAGTACCGACCCCCATCTGCACGAGCAGGACGATTCTCTCAGCGCGCACGGTGGGGACTACACCTGGGCATCGAAAAACACTACAACGCATGGAAGATTTTCGACGTCGCGACAAAAGAAACAGTGGCAGCACGTGATGTCATTTTCTACGAGCGGCTCACACTGCAGACGTACCTTGCCAACCTGGACGAAAACCGAGACCCCACAGGTGGCTTCCGTGGAGACCGAGCCTTCGCTTCGGCAGAAAACAAAGCTGACTGGGACGAGCAGAACGTGGAAGGAGCCTCGGAAGAAGCCGGACCCCTCCCCTACTGCTCCGTCAACGTGCCAATGGACGACGAAAACCCACGCGAAAGCATCAACGCCGACGCCTACTACCATTTCGCTGACAACGGTTACGTTACACCTGCACAAGTCAACACCGACGAAGCAGAACGCTTAGGACCTAATTTCGCACCTGATCCAGAAGCGGGAGATGAAGCAGTCTATCCCGAGGACACTTCACTCCCCCGCTACACACAGAGTGGACTCCAAATCCTTGGTCTCGTCACCGCAGTTCACGGCGCAGCCATTCCTAAAGAGCCTGCGACAGTTCAGCAGGCTCTGGGGGGGGAGCATAAGGAAAAATGGCGCGAAGCCATGGACAAGGAACTGAAGGCACTGGAGGAACGCAACACGTGGAAAGTAGTTCCCATCGGCGTAGTACGGAACAAGACCATTCTCACCGGAAAGTGGGTCTTCCGTGTGAAGACAAAAGCTGACGGCACCATCGACAAATTTAAGGCGCGCTGGGTCGTACGCGGTTTCGACCAAGAGCACGGACGCGACTTCACCGAAACCTTCGCTCCGGTCAGCCGCCACACCTCACTACGCATTCTCCTCGCAATCGCCGCCATGAAGAAGAAGAAGCTGCGGCAAATCGACGTCGCGAACGCGTTTCTCTACGCACCCGTTGACGCAGAAATTTTCGTGGAACTACCGCACGGTA